TTATGCATTCTTTATTGCCTCCATGTTAAAACCACAGCCTTGCCAACAACAAAAGTACAAACATTGTAGTGACCTCTCCTCCCACCAAGATTTCTGATGGAAAAACAGCTCAGGAAAAATCCACTTAGGCTCCGGTAATCGAGACACAAATACTTGTTCTCCTCCTCACAGACCCTCTGGGAAATCCCCTTGCCGAAATTGTTAAAATGCACTCAAATACAGCTTGCAGAATATTTCCCTTAAAATGCTTGTTAAGGAGTAAATCCATCACACTCCTTGCATACCAGACAAGCAAGAACAGAGTTTGAAGATTTTTACCCTCCATTAGATTCGGCCTTCTCTCCGCCCCTCTTCACAAAGGGTAACTAACCTTTGTTTTAAAATAGGAAGGAACTAAATTACATCTATACATATTCGATACTCCAGAAGCTTCTAGAAAAGGGAGCACCACGAAGGCTGCAATCATCATGTCTAAAATGAGAGAAATAAATACTGCCAGAGAAGTCTTGCTTACTTGTGTAAACAATCGAGTGTTCTAGGAAGTGACACATTGAGTAATTCTACACAATGTGCTAAGAGGAAAACGGAAATGGGCCGGATTGGGTCTGAAGAAGAAATGGCTCATTGTTTGGCATTCTTCAAATGCTGGAATAATTACTCGATTATGAGCACTTCTCATATATTTAAATAATGCAAATCTACACTCTGTTGAGATTAGATGTAGTTCTTGCTAATTCCTGTCTTGCCGGTTTAGGGACTGCAAAGGAAGAGAGAAATGCCAGGATCCCTAACCCCAGACCTCTCCCCAGGCGCACAGGTTGGAATGGGAAAGGGGCGGGGTTATTCCTTGAACCTTTATTCCATGGCTTTATGTCTTTAGACGCTTAATTGACTTGTGATCGGAAAAGCCGTTGTTTAGATTTTATGTGTGGACGGGGAGACCTGGGAGCACTTTTCTCAAATGAGACTTCCTTGATTCGTGTCCAGTTTTGAGATTAAGGGTTTTTCTCATTTCCTAATCTTCCACTCCAAAGAGATGCAGGGTATTCCGGAAGAGTCAGTTGTGTGGATAAGCCAGGCAGTCTGTGTTTGATCCATTTTAGTGCTTTATTCTGCTCCGTGTCAGCTTCTCAGCGCAAAGCAATGTCCTTGGAATTGATTCATGGCTGTCATGCTGCAGGCAGACTCCGTTTGTACCTGGGTTATTAAAATGCAGATTAAAAAAAAATGTTCGACCAATTTCTCTCCCAAACTTAGAACACTCATAGTCACCCACTTCCTTCCTCTCCAGGTCTCCCCTCCCAAAGCTACT